GCTGATCTCCGTAAATTGGCTGTCAACATGGTACCATTCCCACGTCTCCACTTCTTTATGCCTGGTTTTGCTCCATTGACCAGCCGTGGTAGCCAGCAATACCGTGCCCTTACTGTGCCTGAATTAACCCAACAAATGTTTGACTCTAAGAACATGATGGCTGCCTGTGATCCACGTCATGGTCGTTATCTGACAGTGGCTGCAATCTTCCGTGGTCGTATGTCTATGAAAGAAGTCGATGAACAGATGTTGAACGTTCAGAACAAGAACAGCAGCTACTTTGTTGAATGGATCCCCAACAACGTGAAAATTGCAGTTTGCGATATTCCACCCCGTGGTCTTAAGATGTCCGCTACCTTCATTGGTAACAGCACTGCCATCCAAGAGCTTTTCAAGCGTATCTCTGAACAGTTTACTGCTATGTTCCGTCGTAAAGCTTTCTTGCATTGGTACACTGGTGAAGGTATGGATGAGATGGAATTTACTGAAGCTGAATCCAACATGAATGACTTGGTATCTGAATACCAACAGTACCAGGATGCAACAGCTGAAGAGGAGGGAGAATTTGATGAAGAGGAGGCAGAAGAAGATGAAGCTTAATGAGGCACTACTTTACGTCTCAAAAGTGAAATTAAAAGGATGTATTGATGAGATTTTAAAAATAATTCAACCTATAAAACCTTGGTCTACAGTCTACTGCCATTATGTGAATAAAATAACTTTCACCATATTACATTGTTTTATTGCTTTACTCTCCAGGAGAAACAAAACCTTTTTTTGGCCTTGAAAGGTGGTGGTCATCATGGCTTCTTGAATTTGAATATGTTGTTAAACAGCACATTTCACTTGCATATGTTGCTACATGTTTTATGGGACCCATATCAAACACATGTAGTTCTAACTAGCTCTGTCCTCTATAAAATGTCTCTGGTTGAGGCATACCCAAATTGTAGCATAGGCTGTGTGTCAATGATTTTTTCACACCTTTTTGTGTACATGGCTGAACTTTGACCCAACTCCCACTAAAAGTTGGTAACGTGTGTCCTAATCAATAATTGGGACACTTGATATTTGTTTTAGTCCTGATTTGTCAGGTTAAACTCAAATATGTAAAATTGGTTTGTATGAAAGGGAATATCTAATTTAGTCGTATATACTGGAAGGATGTTTGATATCAAAATGCATGTACATATACTAACAAGTAAAGACGCATATATATTCACAACACGCCTGGGGACGCTATTCATTATGATCGTCAAATCTGCTCCGCGGGGTTCTTGTGGAACTATAGAGGGCCAAGCAGCTAAGCAAAATATTATTTCCTCGACTCGATTGTATGGAGTTTCTGGGTGAATTATTCAAGCTTAATTTGTTTGCAGTGTTTTACACTTCTCTCCACCAGAGTTTGTCAGGATAATGGTTCACATCAAACTTTTACCATTTGGTCCAGAGAATGAACATGCAATAAAACCTAAAAGTCTTGCTATATTTTAATAAAAGTTCAAAAAAGATATTATGAAAGAAAGAAAGAAGCGTTCAATTGAAATCAGTGAATCCTGTACGGTACGTAATTAGCATGTTTCACACTTTTAAGCCGTCAGTACTGCTCGAGTTGGAGAAAATGTATAATTATTCGGTTTATTGACACGACACTGAGTGACTATAGAAAGTATGGAAACAGTAAAACTTGCGTGTACGTGTAAGCCTTTATCGTAACTCCAAAATACGATTCACAGTCAATTCGTCCTACAAGTCGATTCGTCCCAATTCACATTCGTCCAATTTATTTAATTTTTGGTCTCAGCATTACGATCTTGAGCAGGGTCAATTTCTATGCCAACTGTTACTGACACGCCAATTAATAACTCCACGTTGCGTGAACGGTGTATTTGTATTTATTAACTAATAACTTGTACGGTGTATTTGTATTTATTAACTAATAACTCTACGTTGCATATAAGGTGTATTTGTATATAACGTCGGCAAAAACAAAATGGCGTAACGAACAATTACGCATGCCAGTGACGTGACGTGTACGTGGACATGCAGTTCGTTGTTTGGATTTGTTTGTGCTTATTTGTCGAGTTATTAGTTAAATCTGACGAATCGACTTGGGACGAATCGACCGTCCCCCCCAAAATACTGGCCACGAAAAGTAAAATACAAGAGCGTACAACCGTAGAAAGAAATTAATGAGTGGTGGGTCATGGTCATTTTCAAAGAATAAAATGTTAAGAATAATGTAAATATTAGAGCAATAACATTAACCATTTTCACGCCCGGTCCAATCCAAATTTACCAAATTGAACTTTGACCTGTGGCGAGTGGGCCGGCTGCATCCATGACGACCGAACTAACATTGATCAATAAGAATTTGTTTGTAATAGTTGATCATGCATAAGAACATTTCAAAGTTTTCCCTATCGCCGAACAATAAATCTAAAAAAGGAATAGATTATTATGACTTTTTTTTTCAAAAGTATGCCTGACTGCGTTTATGCTGTTCTGTATGCAACTGGGTGTGTAGGCGAGTTATACCCATTATACCGGAGTGACGATTCAGTTAGTGTGGTGACTAGATCGCAATTTTAATATGACTATATAGAGTATGTGACCGCAAAGCCGTAAGAAACTTCAACGAAGAACTCCGCTGATACGGCTATGACGGCCGATGCATACCTGTCCCATTGCCTGTCGGCCACCCCTCTATTGTGAATGGGGATGACTTCCCGCAATGGCGGACATCAGTTGCAGTGTTTGCATCGGCAAGAAAACCCTGACTAAAATGCGATCATATGGTAGATTTTATGCATTTTACCAGATGTACATTTCGAATCGAAACCCCCAGTAGGCCTACTGTGTAACATCGGTAAATCGGGCGAAAAGGAAAACGGGCGAACTGGTAATCAGGCGAAGGAGTTCGGGCGAAGTGGATTTCGGGCGAAGTGACTGTACCCCGGCTTTGGTACCTTGGATACACGAACAAGTGTTGGCGATGGTTGGTTGGTTGGGTGTTAATATGTGCGTCTCAACGTAACTGCGTCGAACAATGCTCCCTTGTTTAATGTTAAATGACATTCCAAAAATTTACCTCTGTTGAGAGTGGGCATTTAAACATAGTGTGCCTTGCAATGACGCATTACTGGGGTCACTGCCTTAAAGTTGCCCTGTCATGGAGTGATGATTGCATTTCCTCTGCGACTCTCTCCGGGCCACTTACTGACACCATCAGAATCAGATGATCTAAACACTATGTTTCAAATCACCATCATTAAAGGAATAAAAATATTCTTTTTGACAGGGAGACCTAGTTCAAATAGAAAACACAATCTACCAATCAGTCGCGTAATTTATGATAAACCTGCTATGAAAAGTCTGTCATACTAATTATCGCTACATTTACGACATGAATAATGTTTTTTTGTTTTGTTTTTAAAATATATTAAAGCCTCATCGAAAACGTGTTGGGTCATGTCAATTAACCATTTTAAAAACGACAGCTCTTTAAACATTAACGATTCTTTTAGAATCTAATGTATTCGATACTGTTCACTGAATTAAAAGAAATTAGTCACTGTTGTTTAAGTTTCAATAACAGTATACTAGTATCCAGAACGAAAAAAAGCTATAAACAGGTGTCTGCAAATAAAGTACACTGTAGTGTCATGGAGGTAAATTTGTAAATCTGTGGGCGGGGTTAACGCCTGAGGTTGGAATATCTCTTTTAACCATGGTTTAACTGTATCCATAACATCAACAACAAAAATATTATTGTTCTATGTGTGGTTATATTAATTCGTCATCACATTGTATCGAAATAGTAAATAATAATGTATGCAGTTGCTATGAGTAGCCGACAATACATAGAGGAAGTAATGTTTTCTTGTTTTGAAAATCTGTTTGCATGTAATTGTATGTAGAAAGTGGTTTCCGTTCATCTGTAACACTGCGCATATGATATAATAAGAATGGAATATTTTATTTTTAACTCAAATTAATTTCCGGTTTTCGTTTTGTGTGCGACCTTTATTCTCACTCAATTTTGATGTGTTAAATGTGAAAACATGGAGAAAAAGGTATTTTCCCATTCAGCGAAAATAGTGAAAATAAATTCAAATGTGAAAATAGAGAACATTACAACATGCATTGAATATGATTGAGAGGTGGGTGTCGCGTTGTCTTACATGTTCTCACTCGACCTGTGAACTCCATGGTGCAATTTCCCATTGTTTTTATAATCACATACAGAACTTGTTCTCACGTGAATACGAATAACAATAGAGTCTATAGAGACGAAATCCGCCTGTAAAATAGTGTAACCCTAACCACAGTCCTGTGCCCTAACCCACAAATAATGTGAAATGTAAAATAAGGAGTACAAACTGAGTGCAAGATTGAACTGTCGAACTTGTTGCCATAGTAACAGCGATCCATTATAAACAAACACTGCTACTCAAAGTCACCGGCCAAGTGTTACACTGTAATACAATAATACAAATGTTACAAATTAAAAAAACAACAACATTACAACAAGAAATTTATTTTGCAAACGATTATTTTTTTAGTTGTATAGATATTCCCAATCCCCAGAGCTGTCATTTATATATTGTCATCGGAATTGAAGGTTGTGTCACCACACCTAGCCTCATTAGAGTTTGGTTTGGTGATATATTCAGTCAATTTGCATACCAACGCAATAAACACGCTGTTTTTCTTTTATGAGTCGTTCATTGCCAACGCGGACTGATTTAAACAGCTTGTCAATAGTCAATGTTTTCTAATTTGCAGTTGCCAAGGCAATCATACAAAATAACGAGTTTCAAAGTTTCTGACTCATCAGATATGACATCATAATTGTATGTTTCAGCAAGCGAGAAAAAAACCAAGAAAACATCAGGATACCCCTTCTTAAAGCAAGGATTTGTCGAGGTTCTATTTTTTACCCACGAATGAATGGGCTCAACCATGGTTTAAACACAAAATAACTGGGCTGCTTGACGCGGAGGGTCTATTTTTAGGTGGTTATCCGTTTCACAGGCTCTAAAAGAGACGTGCTACCGGGACTTCTTCATTAAGGCGGCCAAGAGGACAGAACGAACATACTAGTATATCAGATCATTGATTTCTTTTTTACAAATCCTTCAAAATGCGTGAAATCGTACATCTCCAAGCTGGTCAGTGTGGTAACCAAATTGGTGCCAAGGTAATGTATAATTTCTTATTCAGCCCGTACACAGTGGACATTTTACATGCAAGCCTAACCGCCTACCATTTTCAATTGTCTCTCAAATTTGAAGGCTGAGAAAATACCTCACAACATCGACAATTTTCCACAGTTTCTCCGTTTCGGGATAATTTTGAACTTTTCAATACAATATATAGATTTGTTTGATTTGTCGTAGGGTTTCGTTTGAATGTCAAATTCGCAAGGCGCAAAAAGACCTCTACTAGATGTGTCAGCAAAATGTTTTTGTTTTTTTTACACGATTCCGTACCGATCATATCAACCCATCAACAAAATTTGTGGGTATCGTTCTGGCTCGTCTAGTGGAGTTTTGAGCTCCATGTTCCGGCCAAACCGGATTTGAAATTCAGTTGACCTTTCACCGTGATCACCAGCCTATTGTAACATTCTATCGCGATGATCATTTGAATACTAGTAAATCACATGGCTGACTTGTTTCAGTTTCGTAGGATCTTCAACGGTTGACCAAGTTTTATTTGCAACCTCCTCCGGGCCTCTATATTAGTTTGGAGAGTAAACTGTTACTTGCCCGACTGCTTCTACTGCTCGTAATGCAAATTACAAGTGTTCAACACTGTTACTACCCAATTTCCCCGATCAATTTTGTTGAAAACATTACACGTTTTCCCAGGCTACACCCATGTCCCTTCTATATTTTATTTTTAGCTCAGCTGTCGACTTTGAATGAATGTCCGCCGTCGTCCGTGTCAATGTTTTACTTTTTCGACTTCTTCTTGAAAACTACAAGCCTGAATGCTTTGATTTTTGGTGTATATGTACCTTGGGTAGACCTCTCTCAGATTTGTTCATTTCATGATGATATCTTCAATTCACTAATTTTCATGATTATTTTTGGTGAAAAGTGATGTTTTTGAATTCTTGTTGAAAACAGCAAGTCCTGTTGCTTTGATACTACCGGTATACATATTGCTCATTTTCTAATATTTTCTGTTCTTTAATTGAAATGTGCATTGCTAACAGCGGAGCTATCTCAGCAGACAGGCTGCTTGTTCGTGTATATAATTAATCCCTCATCATTATTTGCGGCTGCGTGGGGCACGAGATTTTCATGAGATGCGTCTTACTTTGCTCAGTTTTTGTAAATTGTTTTTCTTTATATCACTTAGTTCTGGGAAGTAATTTCTGACGAACATGGCATTGACCCAACTGGTACCTACCATGGTGATTCAGATTTGCAGTTAGAGAGAATCAATGTATACTACAATGAGGCCACTGGTGGAAAATATGTTCCTCGTGCTGTCTTGGTCGATTTGGAGCCAGGTACCATGGACTCTGTGAGATCAGGTCCATTCGGACAGATCTTCAGACCAGACAATTTCGTTTTTGGTAAGTTTTTTTTTTGCAAAATACATCTGTTCTTGTATTAAAGCCACATGTAAATAATCATTGCATTTATTTTTTCACCATAGAAAAGCCAGTAATTGCATAATTGCACCTTTATTTCCAAAATTTGAAGTGCAATTTTTTCAAGATATTAAAATAAAAGCACATTAACAAGAAATTTAAGATGAGCGTATACCATCATTGAATTCTGACAATTTTTCTTTACTTTGACAGGCCAGAGTGGTGCTGGTAACAACTGGGCTAAAGGTCACTACACAGAAGGTGCTGAGTTAGTTGATTCAGTCCTTGATGTTGTCCGCAAGGAGGCAGAAAGCTGTGACTGTCTGCAGGGATTCCAACTTACACACTCCCTTGGTGGTGGTACTGGCTCAGGTATGGGTACACTCCTCATCAGCAAGATCCGTGAAGAATATCCAGATCGTATCATGAATACATTCAGTGTTGTACCATCACCAAAAGTATCAGACACTGTTGTTGAACCATACAACGCCACCCTCTCAGTTCATCAACTTGTTGAAAATACAGATGAAACCTTTTGCATTGACAATGAAGCCCTCTATGACATTTGTTTCCGTACCCTGAAACTAACAACTCCTACTTATGGTGACTTAAATCATTTGGTATCTGCAACCATGAGTGGTGTTACTACCTGTTTGCGATTCCCTGGTCAGTTGAAT